ATAGTTTCAAGAACTCTACCTCTTTTTCTCTGTGATAAAGATCATTGTGTGACACTTGATATATACATATATATATATATATATATCTTTTTTGTATTCAGCACACTCGATCACCCAGAAGATTTTCTATTTTGTTGAGGGGTATTTTCAAAAGTTTAGGAAAAGTTTTCAAACTAATATTATTTTCCTATGGAGATTTTTAGGCGCCATCATGTTATTTTTTCCTAAACTTTTCGAAGCACTCCTCGTCAAAAATAGAAAATCTTCTGGGTTATCGAGTGTGCTGAGTACGAAAAAGCACTTTTCAACAGCTCAAAACCAACTTTATTTTTTTTCCGATGGTATAATGTTCTTTGTGCGTCTGTTATCAGCTTCTCTAAAAAATACTCTGTAGCATTTGTATAATGGTTGTATTTGTGTATTTTGGCCTTTCAAAGCTTTTTTGTATTCAGCTCTTGAATGATAGTTTGTTCTATCTAATACTTTTTTTTCCTTATAGATTTTGAGAAAAGATGGTTACAGTTCTGGTTGGTCCCGTGACTCAGTTGCATGTACTATATGCGTAACTCCACATACAACAGAAAATAACAAATAATATCATGGTCTTTTTACTTGCTTTTTTTATTTGTTTGTTAGTTTATCCTTGTTTTGTTACAAAAGTGTCTGTTAGTTGTACAATTGCGTTTGAATATAATTTATTTAATGGATGATTATGGCCGTCAAAGAAAAATAGCATCTATGGAGTATACGGGCTCATTCTTCATAAACAGGCATGCACCAGTCTGATAGGTCGGTGACCGAAACGTATTCGGTCTGGTAACTTGATGCGACCAGACATGTTCGGACGAAGATCGCAAATACGATAGTTTATATTTTTCTCATCGGAGATATCGGCCAGCGCCTTGTTCAGAAACTATTGAGAATTTGCTTGATTTGAGAGTTAGTACCAAGGAGGAAACGACCTCTTAAAATGGTGCACACACTTATAAGTGACAGTCACTTTAAGTGTCACGTTTATTTTTCTGTTTGAACAAGATTTGAGCAGTAGTGATTACTAATTTGTCCTCCTTATGGTAAGAAAAAGTAACAGAATTCGCGTTTTGCTCAAAAGTTGCGTGGTATTGAATGTTTATGTTGCTTTATAAAAAAGAAGTCCAAAGATGTACGAGATCTTTTTTTTCGTACGCATTTTAATGCACATGCATGTGTTAGCGTTATTAGGCCGGGAGCTAATGCCTAACTAATACTCTTCCTTGATAATTGCCCTTGTTCAACTTTAAACGTTCGATTTTGTTTCAACTATTTTATTCTAGTTGAGAGAATTTTTGAAGCTTTTCTTTCGTATTTATTAAATATATATTAACTAAACGTTTCGACATATTAACGTATCATCCTCGGTCGTTTAAAAACGAAATAGTTTATAAATCCACAATCTAAAATTATAACAATTTTTCAAAATTCGAAAAACAATGTTAACATGATGTATACAATGATAGAATAGAAGTTGATAAACATCATACATAAGGTTTATCCATATCTTTTTCTTATTATCGGTCGTCTCAAATCATACCTCGCATTTTCTTTTCTATACTGAATTGCTTTCTCTCCTTCTTCTCCTGTTCTTTCTCTTCTCCTGCTTCATTACTAGACTTTAGATCACTCCAGACCTTGGTACAAAAAGTGAAGAAATCACAAGTCGTTCAAGATCTCGTTCAAGGCAGCCTGGTCATCAATGACTTGCGCACAGCTCAACAATTGTGACTTTTTTCTGTTTTTATTCTCTTCTGCCCATACTACAATAAAAAACAAGTTTATTCTATTAGTCGTTATTTCTTTGTAGAACAGGGAGGATGCTCGTCCGAACAACATCGATTCAAATTAAAACCCGATTGCTTTTTCTTTTTTACAGTTTAGGCTGTTCATGCGAATAAATGCAATCTTCGTTCTTCGTAGCATAAACTCCACATGCTCATCAGCGAACTCGAGTCGAAGATGACTGACGCCTACCTGTGACTGGAAAACATCCAAACAAAGTTGTGTCATTGGCTATGTAAAAAATAATTGATGGAATTCAAAGAGCGCTGAATAACTTATGAGAGAAGTAAGCCTGAACACACACTTCCATGCGAAATGAACTTGAGAAACGAAGTGGGATACGCGTTAGTAACTACAAAATCAGCTCCTAATTGGACTCTTTGATTCAATTATTCTCCACATCTAATCAGTTGAATAAATTCAATGTCAAACACAAGACATTACATGAAGCGCAGTTTTCATGGTTGAATAGATCTAAGATAAAATGAGCGAAAATTTGAAAAAACGGCATAGTACAAATAGATAGTTATCTACATTTAGTCACTCCTGTCGGTCATCATTTTCACTTTGCTTTACATCCATTCGATAAAATTTCACCGTTCTGTCTGTTTTATCATCCTGACAGAAGAGAACAGAAGCAAATTGTTTGCATTTGAGTGACGCACATTTCTACGCTGCTGTGCTCACAGTTCTGCGAATTCTATTGCTACACGGCGCACCACTTTTCGATGACGTTATGAATTATGTTCTTCAACGTGATGCAAAGTAACACCATTGCTACACAAAACACAACCGTTAGGAACAAAGAAGTAAGTCACTGTATCTTTAAGGAGTACTTTCTCTTCTTAATTTAACCAATTGAGAAATGGACGATGAAAAGTGAAAACCATTTATTCACTCATCCTATTTGTAACATCCCTAATAAAAATATTTGCCTGAAAACAAAACCAGATGGCGATTGATGTTTACCCGTTCTGTTTCGAAGCATAAATTAACACAAACATGCAATAAGGAAAAAGCCAACGATAAGGAAAGAGAAAGGAATGAAAAGGTTGTTTTTTCATGTTTACTGGAGAAAAGAGTAATATTAACTCGAGAATATTTATTGTTTTGAAAAATTTATTTCCAAAGACAGTCAACGTCAGGTCAGCTAAATTCCACAATCATTCGATTTCTTCACGGTATGTCCTAGTCGAACTAAATTTGTTACATCTGATAAAAATCTTATCGGTTTCTTACAAATTTCTTATATAAGGAGTGTACGAAAGTGATAAGAAATTCACTGGTTCTGGTAAGAAATTTATAAGAATTTTTGAAAAGCTTTTTAATTATTTTTCAACCAGATTTTTGAAACTAATGTCTTTTTCAAGAAGTGCTTCATGTTTGGATTACCTCGAAACCTTAAGAAAACGCCGGTTTTGGGCCTCCCCAGAAAAATATGGAGAAAAGAAAAAACATCGTATCGAAAGAGTATCTAAGTTTTAGAAGGGACATGGGAGCTGCTTTTCAGTCTCTCATCTTTTTCGGTTTTCTAATAATTCTTATGGAATATGGAGAAGAAGTTTTCTTTATTTACCGATTATGGGATTCCAAAAAGAATGTTGGTTCACAATGCCACTTTAAAACAATTATATTAAATATAGTGATCCGTCATTTAGTGGTTATAGTTAGATTGTCGGGATATAGTACGCAAGTTCGATCCTTGCAACGGACCATTTTCCTTTTTTTTGCAAAAATCGCATGAAACTGCATCAGTCTCATCTTTTTTAGATATTTTCTAGTAGATGAAGCAGTCTGTTTTTAAAATTCTTCTGATTTCTTATAAATTTGACGATTACCAGACATTTGGGCGCAAGTCTATCTCACCCTAACCCTCACCCATTCTTTAACTCAAAATTCACGCAGGAATCTCTTCAGCGATCAAGTGTCCTACCTCCCAAGCGTCTCACACAGCAACTGTCCGCGAACAACTGTCCTAGATCCCGTTGTATAACGCATCACTCAAGTGTCGGGTAGCTCAAGTTTCAGTACTCAAATGTCGGTTAATCATTGATTTACACCATGAAATATAAATTTACGGATATAGATGTGTATAAAAACATGATTTCTGAAGCCGAAATGTCGATCGCGCCCAAATGTCGCGCGCGCCTAGATGTCGGCGCTCAAATGTCGGTATACCGATATTCGTAGCAGTTAATTAGTCATTTTATTCAATTAAATAATGATGTCAATGAAACATAAGGTAGCGAATACGCGAGAATTTTAGCAAAGTAACTGAAATTTAAAAATGGAAATTTATAACTGTAAAGTTCAATATTTACAAATCAGCGTCTACTTTTAAGAGAAACTTTTGAAAGTTTACACTACATTCGTAAGGAGCAATTTTTACCATAACAATACTGCGTTTAAACTACGTTAAAGTATCTAACAAAAAAGTTTCTTTTTTAAAGTTACAGAGAAGCATTTCGAGTAATCTTTATATTTCTTTTATTTGATGCTTAAGTCATTGATGTAGTATCTTTAGATTACTTACTAATATTTATTCTATTTATACTATTTAGTAAAACAAGTTTATAATTTTAAATTGATCAGAAAATTTATTTAAAAGTATGGCTACTAAGTTTACGTTAAACGTACAAAGAAAAGAATGTATACTGCCCGATGAGTTAAATCCTTTCGAGATATTGAACATAAATGTCAATGCATCCCACATAGAAACTAAATATGCTTTTAAAAAGAAAATATGTTCACCTGATAGATATCAGAGATCAATGTCTGCATTAGCGTATGATATGATTTGTTCCCAAGATCCAACAAAATACATTAGAACTGGTAACAAGTTTATTGTGAATAAAAAAGATCATTTTTTTTATGTCACTACTGGAAATTTTAAATCACTTGTTGAACAAATTAGAAAACATAAATATTTACTTAATCAGAGAGATGAGTTTGGTAGAACTTTACTATATTTAGCAGCAAGGAATGGATTTTACAATATATGTGATTTCTTGTTAAAGTCCGGGTGTAACGTGAATGAAATTCAAAAAGATGGCAGCACGGCCTTACATGCAGCAGCATTTTATGGACATCTATTAATAGTTGAGCTCTTGCTTGAATATGAAGCAAACCCAGAAATTAGAAACAACTTTGCAAGTTATCCTAAAGATGAGGCTTGTACTACAGAAATTAAAGCTTGCATTCAATCAAAAACTAACGATAAGATCAATGTATTGCTGAATAACCTGATAAAAGGAGAATTAGCAAAGAATATGGTTGTTATAAAACATGATGGTATGATTATTGGTAAAAAGATTTTGAGAAACTCTAAATTCTTTTTGGAATATTCTAAATCATACATAGCTGAAAACTGGATGTTGGCTTGGCATGGGACTAAATATAACTCTCTACAATCGATTATGAGGCATGGATTACATGCAGCGGGTACAGTTTTATCAGCTGAACACAGAATTAGTACACAATTAGGTCATATTGCTTTAAATAGAAAAGTTGGAGAATACCAAAATTGGGCGAATGCAATATTCGTTTCACCAAGTATATTTTATGCGGCTGATGTAACTTATTCAGAAAGAATATTTTCTGATCATAAACGATGGTGTATATTAGTCGAAACAAGAGTAAAACCAAACTCATTCAGCAAGCATCATCAGACTCTATTGAATCAAAGAGAGTTACTACCTGGGGAACCAAAAGACCTAGAATATAGAGTAGCCGTGAAAGAAAATGAAGATTTTATTATGAGGGTAGAGTCAGATAGAAATATCATAGTCACTGCTTTGGTTTTCGTAAATCTAACGTTTTTGGAGAATATAGATGAATATTATCAAGGAAAGGATTTATTTGCGAATTCGGAAGCTGAAAGAGCTCTTTTTCAGTAATTATAAGCACTAAAAATAAAATAAAAACTAAGTTGATATATGGGATTTATTACAAGGATGTGGCATCATTACATTTAATACGGTATTGTCTAGTTTGTATTTTCAATTTAAGCTCAAAACGTCATTACGCGAGACATTACTATCTTATATAACATTGCTAATCATGCCCATTTGACAAAATCGATCTGACTATTCTATATTGTAGTTTATCTTTTATTTATTTGTTTATTATTACACTTTCTAGGAACTATTTTATCACTTTTGTTTAGTTTCTAAGAAATATGTGAAGTATTGGGACTGTAATCGATCAGTCGAAGGATTAAGATTTTACTTTAGTAGAACAGAGGAAGCTCTTCGGTGTACTATCCGTCTCAGTAATACTGACTTAGTTTTGCACTTTTAATTAACTGATGTCAATACAGTCCGAATAAAAGTCATATTATTAGTTTGAAGTTGGCCTATATAAAGAGGTTACAGCAAAGACAGGAAAAGACGAAGACATATTTAGCAAAACAGACAAATTAAAAATCTTTCACATTAGCAAACCGGAAAAGTACCTGAGAAAATCCGAGGAATACATGATTAAGACTAATGCATACGAAAACCCTGCTAACATGGTTTCTGCGACAACAGTTTTACGGCATTTCGCAGTGGAAACTAGTTCTCCATGCAGAAGCTACCACTTTGTTTCATCTCTATTATGATCCAAAAGACCATAAGTCCTCTTACACACTCATTAATGAACTAGACAGCTAACTAACGAAGGAAAAAAAAACACTGAAAGTTTTTGTCGGTTCTTGCCTAATTCTTAACTGACCTAGTAATATGCGCTTTTTATAAAATTCTTGTTACTTTCGTCTTACGTAAGAATTTAATATGATTCTTATACGAGTCATATCGGTTTCTTATAAGTTCCTTATCAGATTTCCTGTCACTATAGCAATAACCGTTGACATTACTGATCTGCATACGGTGATACCGCAAGAAAAAGTGATTGAAGCCATTATAGAAATGGTTAAGGAGACAGGATATGATAGATTAAAACGTCTGGAGTTAAACATATTCCGTAACTTAGCGTGATGGGTAATGAAAAGAATTATTACTACGTCGAAGGAAAATACTATAGGTAAATTTGAGGAGCTTTGGGTTGTGCTCTCACTCTGGCAGCAGCTAATGAATACATAAAAAAACGGGAAGAGAATATTGTCCCGAAACAAAAAAAAGAGAAGTATATAGAGTATATATCGTATTCGCTACCTTATGTCTCATTGACATCATTATTTAATTGAATAAAATGACTAATTAACTGCTGCGAATATCGGTATATCGACATTTGGGCGCCGACATCTAGGCGCACGCGACATTTCGGCTTCAGAAATCATGTTTTTATACACATCTAGATCCGTAAATTTATCTTTCATGGTGTAAATCAATGATTAACCGACATTTGAGTACTGAGACTTGAGCTACCCGACACTTGAGTGATGCGTTATACAACGGGATCTAGGACAGTTGTTCGCGGACACTTGTTGTCTGAGACGCTTGCGGGGTAGGACACGATCGCTAGGACACGTGATCGCTGAAGAGATTCCTGCGTGAATTTTGAGTTAAAGAATGGGTGAGGGTTAGGGTGCGATAGATTCGCGCCCAAATGTTGTGCGCCTAAATGTCGGCGCCCAAATGTATGGTAATCGTCGAATTTATAAGAAATCAGAAGAATTTTAAAAACAGATTGCTTCATCTACTAGAAAATATCTAAAAAATGATGAGACTGATGCAGTTTCATGCGATTTTTGCAAAAAAAAAGGAAAATGGTCCGTTGCAAGGATCGAACTTGCGTACTATATCCCGACAATCTAACTATAACCACTAAATGACGGATCACTATATTTAATATAATTGTTTTAAAGTGGCCTTGTGAACCAACATTCTTTTTGGAATTCCATAATCGGTAAATAAAGAAAACTTCTTTTCCATATTCCATAAGAATTATTAGAAAATCGAAAAAGATGAGAGACTGAAAAGCAGCTCCCATGTCCCTTCTAAAACTTATATACTCTTTCGATACGATGTTTTTTCTTTTCTCCACATTTTTCTGGGGAGGCCCAAAATCGGTGTTTTCTTAAGGTTTCGAGGTAATTCAAACATGAAGCACTTCTTGAAAAAGACATTAGTTTCAAAAACCTGGTTGAAAAATAATTAAAAAGCTTTTCAAAAATTCTTATAAATTTCTTACCAGAATCAGTGAATTTCTTATTGCTTTCGTGCACTCCTTATATAAGAAATTTGTAAGAAACCGATAAGATTTTTATCAGATGTAACAAATTTAGTTCCACTAGGACATACCGTGAAGAAATCGAATGGTTGTGGAATTTAGCTGACTTGACGGTTGACTGTCTTTGGAAATAAATTTTTCAAAACAATAAAAATATTCTCGAGTTAATATTACTCTTTTCTCTAGTAAACATGAAAAAATAACCTTTTCATTCCTTTCTCTTTCCTTATCGTTGGTTTTTTCCTTATGCATGTTCGTGTTAATTTATGGTTCGAAACAGAACGAGTAAACAGCAACCGCCATCTGGTTTTGCTTTCAGGCAAATATTTTTATTAGGGATGTTACAAATAGGATGAGTGAATAAATGGTTTTCATTTTTCATCGTCCATTTCTCAATTGGTTAAATTAAGAAGAGAAAGTACTCCTTACAGATACAGTGACTTACTTCTTTGTTCCTAACGGTTGTGTTTTGCGTAGCAATGGTGTTACTTTGCATCACGTTGAAGAACATAATTCATAACGTCATCGAAAAGTGGTGTACCGTGTAGCAATAGAATTCGCATAACTGTCAGCACAGCAGCGTAGAAATGTGCGTCACTCAAATGCAAACAATTTGCTTCTGTTCTCTTCTGTCAGGATGATAAAGGAGACAGAACGGTGAAATTTTATCGAATGGATGTAAAGCAAAGTGAAAATGATGACCAGCTTATATGTCTCATTACGCTCGGACTGTTTCGCGAACCGGTCATTGCTGCAATAATATTTTCATATAATTTTGGTTTCATAACTTTTAAATAACGTACATCTTTCATCAATTAATTTCGGGCTTCTTTTAACGACGGATATAAAGCATCCATTGCTTCTTCACTTAGAGCAAAACCATTTTTTTAGACCTTCTAAACAAAGAAAAATTGCAAAAAGAGGTTTTTTTCATTGTTTTGACAATGATATAAGTTATTGACAGGAAGGAGAGGCTAAAGCTGTAGACAGTTCTTCCTCTTTTTGACTTTTTCCCATCGAAAGGGACTTTTTTCCGAAGGAGAAACAAAGTAGAATGTTGAGGTTTTGTAAACATTTAAAAACAACTGCAATTTTTAACAAATAGTAGCAGCATTTTTAGTAAAACTAACTTTATTGATCAGTATGTCACCTTCGTAGTGAGAATAGCTTCAGAAACGAAGACAATTATCTATTATATTCATACATCGATCTTCTTTATCATCTAAATGTTTATTAGCTAATATTTCACCACGTGTATATATTGTCATTGTCATTTTTCGTAAGAATGATCGAATGGAAGTTAATCATGTTTTAATTTCATTAAATTTGTATCTTTAAACATCTAAAGACAGAAAAAAACCAATGTACGAGAGAACAGCGAGATTAATATAGGAAACTTGTAGATACCAAAACCTTTTTTGCTGGCATTGTAACTGGAGATGAACTAGCAGCTGAACTGCGTAAAGAAGGTGTTGCTACTATATCTGTTGAAGCGCTCGCTACGATATGCTAAAGAAATGCGCCAAAGGGTTAAGAATCGCACGTAAGACGAAGTAACAGCTTTATTCGCACTTACATTCTGGATTATCTTAACGTTTTTTGATAACGGTTTCAACTGAGCAGCAATAGAGGCAACGTCTTCGCTAGGCATGCACCAATCCGATAGTTCGGTCACCAAACCGTTCGTTACCGAACATGTTCGGTCACCAAACCGTTCGCTGCCGAACATGTTCGGTCACCAAACCGTTCGTTACCGAACATGTTCGGTCACCAAACCGTTCGTTACCGAACATGTTCGGTCACCAAACCGTTCGTTACCGAACA